CGATCGCCGATCTAATCGATCGGCAGGCAGCACCAATCGATCGCCGATCTAATCGATCGGCAGGCATTACCAATCGATCGCCGATCTAATCGATCGGCAGGCATGAGCAATCGATCGCCGATCTAATCGATCGGCAGGCATCACCAATCGACTAGCGATCGACCTTCAATCCAATCGATTGCCAGGCTAATTGATCAGCAGGCACTAGCAATCAATTGCTGATTTCTCCTCATTTTCCCTATTTTTTTCATCATTTTTCCCACATTTTTCCCACATTTCCCCCAGTTTTTTTCCCCCTTTTCCCTAACTTTCCCCATATTTTCCCCATTTTTTTCCCATATTTTCCCTAAACTTCGTCCTCATTTCCCCCAATTTTCCCACCCTTTTCCCTCATTTTCCCCAGATTTTCCCCTTATTTCCCCAAAATCTCAGATTCATTCCTGAATCCTGCTCCTCATTCCCAAATTCTTCCCCAGCTGCAGAATTTGATGCTGGACAAGGACGGGCACATCAAAACTGGGGAAAACTGGGGAAAACGGGGGAAAACGTGAGGGGGGGAAATGGGAAAAAAACACGAGGGGAAAAGAGAGGGAAACGTGAGGGGGAAAAGGTGAAAATTGTGACCCTCGAGGAAATGCCTGGGACCCCCCAAAATCATCCAGGATTCCCCTGGCTCGTTATGGACGCCTCCACTGCCTCCCCAGTTTGGCCCAGTTCAGCCTCACTACAATCCCAGCCCGATCCAGTAGAGTTCCAGCATAACCCCGGCACGGTTTCGCTGTCCTTCATGCACAAGTCCAGTACGATCCCAGTACAAGTCCAGTACGATCCCAGTACAAGTCCAGTACGATCTGCGATCCCAGTTTGGCACGGTCCCTCCCAGAACTGCGCCTCCATTCCCGCCCCGCATCGCCGCTCGCCCCAGTTCGCCCAGTTCGGACGCGCCCGGTGCTGGGAGGGGGCGTGGTTAGAGCGGGGGGCGTGGCCAGGACACGCGTACGCGACGTCGCGCTCTGTGGGCGTGGCCAGAGAGCCCTGACCCCGCCCTTGCCGCCGTGAACCGGATAATGATGTGACGTCATTTCCGGGCGAGCCGCGAATATGGCGCTGTTCGAGCAGATGCGAGCGAACGTGGGGAAACTGCTGCGGGGCATCGACCGGTACTGGGAGCACTGGGAATGGGTTGGGGGGGAACGGAGGGGCCTGGGGGAGGATTGGGGGGCTCTGGGGGAGATCCCAGGTGTGTCACAGACCCCCCCCCCCTCACCTGCACAGGTACAACCCCGAGAACCTGGCGACCCTGGAGCGCTACGTGGAGACGCAGGCCAAGGAAAACGCCTACGACCTGGAGGCCAACCTGGCCGTGCTGAAGCTGTGAGGGCTCCGGGGGGCTCAGGGCAGGGGGGCTCGGGGGTCCCTGAGTTCCCCCCCGCCCCAGCCCCCTCACCTGGGCTCACCTGTGCAGGTACCAGTTCAACCCCGCCTTCTTCCAGACCGGGGTGACGGCGCAGATCCTGCTCAAGGCGCTCACCAACCTCCCCCACACCGACTTCACCCTCTGCAAGTGCATGATCGACCAGGCCCACGTATCCTGAGGGGGGAAATTCCAGGGGGAACCCCCAGAAATCCGTGGGGAATCCCGGGATCCCATGGGGAACCCCCAGAAATCC